GCACATATTTAGCCTTGGATGGGACTTACCACCCAATTGGGGCTGCATTCCCAAGCAACCCGACTCTTGGACAACACCTCGTTGCGCAGCAGGGTCCGGCGGTCGACGAGGCTGTCACCCTCTTCGAGGTCCCCTTCCAAGGAACCTGCACACGACCCGCTGCAGAGGTTGCCTCTCAAGACTACAATTCAGGGAGCAACACGGCCCCCGGATTTTCAGTCTGGGCTATTCCCGGTTCGCTCGCCGCTACCAAGGGAATCCTCGTTGGTTTCTCTTCCTCCGCTTAGTTATATGCTTAAATTGGGTGGGTGCTCCCGCCCGACCAGAGATCAAAAGGCAAAGCCCGACGTACCTCCACAGCTCGAGGCCGACACCCCCAACCGCAAGCCCACCTCAAGTTGATGGGAGCGAATGGAAGGCGACGACCACACAAACCAGCGGGACGACCTTACGTGCTGTTTTTAGGGAAACGAAGACCACCACCCACAAACGGGTGCTGGAGGGCAACAACAGGGCGGAGCGAAACGCACCACTCTGGGCTGCGGCCCCCACAGGCCCGCTTGGAATGCTCTTCAATTCCCTTCCACTTTAGGCTATCGACGCTCTCCAAGTGGGAAGCAAGGGAAGCCACGACCACGGACCCCACCACTCTCCGAAACGGAAGGTGCTGAGGTCGTGAGGAATCCAATGATGCTCAGGCGGGCGTGCCCTCGGCAGAAGCCTTGGGCGCCACGTGCGTTCAAGGTATCGATGGCTCACGGATTTCTGCGATTCACATTCAGTGTCGCGTTTCGCTGCGCTCTTCATCGTTGMGAGGGCCAAGATATTCGTTTGCCGAGAGTTCTACAATATGGTAACGTTCCGACAGGACTGACCCTTTGACCACAACAGGAGGGGGCCGTCAACCCAGTCAGCGAGAAATCAGAGCAGGTAAGTCAATAAGAAGTTGCAAAGTCGTCGCCAGCAGCTGCTGCCACGGGCCCGCCCGACCCCCCGTTCGGGGGCCAGGCAGGGCACCGGGGAGCAGCGGGGCAATGAGGGTGCAAGCGTTGTCTCCTCGCCCCCCCCCAACCCGACACCACCCCGTTCACGACCAAAACCCTCCCCCAACGGCCCTCCACCCCGAGATTCAAACCACCTCGACTGTGTCGAGGACGACGATCTGTCCGGAAAGGAGAACCCCGTTGGGAAGGAAGGCAGGACGAAACAGGGAGGGGCCGAGGACCCCGCAACNGAAGGCAGGACGAAACAGGGAGGGGCCGAGGACCCCGCAACACACCCCGCCCCTAGCCTGTACCACGACCCTCGATCCCCAAACAAGCCACAAGCTCCGCACGAAGCCGAGGTCGAGGCTGGGATGGAAAGGAGGTCTGGACAAAGATGAGACGGGACAGAGCGGGGGTACGCAGGCCGAGGGCCGCCGCCACCACCCGACATCCCGCCCCTGACCCTCCCGCAGGGCTGTCCGTGCCCGGACCAACCGCCATCCCGACCAGAAGTCGAGAGTGGGGCTGGGCCGAGGTAACAACCTGGGGAGGCGAGACGGGATGAAGGGGGAGCAACGCCACAAGGCCCCGGACCCTGTCCACTCCTCCCACCCTCGACCTACACCAAGTGCCCCTCTGCGCCGGGCCAGCCGCCAGCTGGGCACTAAGCCCAAGATGGTGCTGAAACGGAACAGAAAAGCGGATGCAGGGAGGATGGGGGCAAGGGGCGGCGGAAGGGCGAGCAAGCCAGCGTCCCACACCCCGAAGATCGGCCATTCACGTGTAAATGATCCTTCCGCAGGTTCACCTACGGAAACCTTGTTACGACTTCTCCTTCCTCTAAATGATAAGGTTCAATGAACTTCTCACAGCACCCCCAGCGGCAAACCGCCGAGATCACCGCAATCCAGACACTTCACCGGACCTTTCAATCGGTAGGAGCAATGGGCGGTGTGTACAAAGGGCAGGGACGTAATCAGCGCGAGCTGATGACTCGCGCTTACTAGGCATTCCTCGTTCAACATCGATAATTACAACAATTTATCCCCGTCACGATGAACCTTAAGAAGGTTACCCGGGCCTTTCGACCCAGGCAAGCGACTCGTTGGATTCATCAGTGTAGAGCGCATGCGGCCTAGAACATCTAAGGGCATCACAGACCTGTTATTGCCTCAAACTTCCGTTCGCTAGTCGTCCAACAGTCCCTCTAAGAAGCTGGCCACGAGGAAAGGTCCCCGCGTAGCTATTTAGCASGCTGAGGTCTCGTTCGTTAACGGAATTAACCAGACAAATCACTCCACCAACAAAGAACGGCCATGCACCACCACCCATAGAATCAAGAAAGAGCTCTCAATCTGTCAATCCTTGCTATGTCTGGACCTGGTGAGTTTTCCCGTGTTGAGTCAAATTAAGCCRCAGGCTCCACGCCTGGTGGTGCCCTTCCGTCAATTCCTGTAAGTTGCGACCATACTCCCCCCGGAACCCGTAAACTTTGATTTCTCACAAGGTGCTGGCAGAGTCATCCAATAGACATCCGCCAATCCCTAGTCGGCATCGTTTATGGTTGAGACTAGGACGGTATCTGATCGTCTTCGATCCCCCAACTTTCGTTCTTGATTAATGAGAACSTCCTTGGCAAATGCTTTCGCAGAAGTTCGTYATCCATAAATCCAAGAATTTCACCTCTGACAATGGAATACGAATGCCCCCAACCGTCTCTATTAATCATTACTCCAATCCCGAAGACCAACGAAATAGGACCAGAGTCCTATCGCGTTATTCCATGCTAATATGTTCAGAACAGGCCTGCTTTGAACACTCTAATTTTTTCAAAGTAACAGCGCCGGCTCTGGATCCCAGCCAATAAAGGCAAGGAACGCATACCCGGCAAGAAAGGCGAAAGGGCCGGTACACGCCCGCAAGAGCGGACCAACCCCTCCCACCCAAAATCCAACTACGAGCTTTTTAACTGCAACAACTTAAATATACGCTACTGGAACTGGAATTACCGCGGCTGCTGGCACCAGACTTGCCCTCCAATGGATCCTCGTTCAAGGAGTTTACAACTGTTCTCATTCCAATTACCGGACGCGAAAGAGCCCAGTATTGTTATTTATTGTCACTACCTCCCTATGTCAGGATTGGGTAATTTACKCGCCTGCTGCCTTCCTTGGATGTGGTAGCCATCTCTCAGGCTCCCTCTCCGGAATCGAACCCTAATTCTCCGTCACCCGTTACCACCATGGTAGGCCTCTATCCTACCATCGAAAGTTGATAGGGCAGAAATTTGAATGGAACATCGCCGGCTCAAAGATCTTGCGATTCGACAAGTCACCATGATTCGACGCAACAACGGGCAAGCCCGGATCGGGCTTTTATCCAATAAATACATCCCTTCCAGAAGTCGGGATATGCTGCACATATTAGCTCTAGAATTACCACGGTTATCCGAGTGGTAAGGAGACCACCAAATAAATGATAACTGATTTAATGAGCCATTCGCAGTGTTTTTTTTTTTTTTTTCTCCCAACACACACACTCGCCCCTTCTATTCTGGGGGGCTCCAGTCCGGTTACTTATTACCGGCAAGCATGAGAGTTCACATAGCAGAGAAAGAACATCACATCAGACAGAATGAGGAAGGGGCCTGCCTGCCCAGCCCAAGACACCTGGCGGCAGGGGACTGCGACATACACCCTCACTTTCAAATACCGGGCTCGTGGCAGACACGGGCGAGCCGGGAAACATCCCTAGAGTACCCAGACACCTACCCGGGCTGTCACAAGAAATCCCAAGCCTAAAGGGGGGGGGGATACCGTAGTCTACCAGCCCCCAATACAAATTTCACTCCATAAGCCATTTTGTGTTGACTCGTCTACTCTCTCTTACAAGTGCGGCCTTTCAAAATTTCGACTCCACAAAGCAAACAGTTGTACCCATCTACTAGTCCTAACAGATCAACCAGTCTCTACTGGTAGCATCGGCTCAGTAAGGACTCCTTACCCTTACCTAGTTTACTGCTCTAAGTAGGCATTACAGTGTAACAGGTCCTTCCTGCACTACAACAACAGACTCAATTATTACCCGACAATAGTTCTCGAACGTTTGACTACTGTGAAGTGTTTGCAGCTTTGATAGTTTGTATAGTTTTTATAGCTTTTTAGAGGTTTCACAATTTTTGTAAGTTTTACCGGTTTTACTACTATCCCCTAAGCTCAAAAAGCATTCTAAAAGAAAACAGATCGAAAGGAAAAGGAAAACAGCTATCATATAATACACTACTCCTATCAAAAACCTACTCGAGCGGATGCACTTTCAGGAGCGGGCCAAACTTCCAAGCTCCGTCGTGCCCGTCCTGCTGAACCAGGTCCGGGTACCCTCCCCAAACCCTCCAAAATTTCTGCAGTCCCGCAGTTGGCGATCGTCGACTTCTTGAGGCTTCTGCAGTGATTGCCGTCCTTATCCCCTCCAGGGATCGTTGTCTCAGCAGTGCAATCGAGCTCGGCTTTCCCCTTCTGACCCTGTCGTTCCTTGCAGTCCAGATGGCCCATACTATCGCTGCTCGTACCACCTCTCCTGCATACATTCGCGGCTTATCCGTCCGGGCCACAGACACCACTGCCCCCAGCAGGATAGCTGCAACATCATCTTCTGTTACGGCAAGGGGGGTTTTATCCGCCATCTCGCTCGCCCACCATCGCCACAGCTCCCCAACCTGTGGGCATTGCACAAACAGGTGGGGAATCGATTCCTCCTGTCCGCACGCTGCTCTTCCCTCTCTGCATACCGCAACCGTCTCCATCTCAGCTCGCTAGACCATGGTCCTCCCTGCTTCCGCACAAGGCCCCAATGGGGCACCCAATCCCTCGTAGCCGGTAGATACCTCCCACTGTTGTGTCTCGATACCGTCCCCTTCCATTCCAGTGATCAGGTACAGGGTCGTTGGGTGAGTCTCGCCTGTCCTTCTAAGCCATTCCCCCGTCTGCAGACTGTCACTCCTAAGTAAGTCCACCCATTGGGTGGGGATTGCCTCCTTAATTCCGTTGAATCGCTGCTGTCTGTGGGGCTGATAGGGGAGCCGTTCCGCCATCTGCTCCGCAGTGGCCCAGTCACAGCGGTCTTCACACCACAGGTGGCCAACTTTGAACACCCCACATTCTGCCCATTGTCTCCCAAAAGCGCCCCTACTCATACTGATCTCCTTCCAAAGTGCAGATACAGGGGTTGCCAAAAACGACCTGATTGTACACCTCGTCCGCCATTGAAGGAAGAGATTGCTCAGGTTGGATCTCCCTCCAGCAAGTCAGCATGGTAGACCAAACGTGATTACGTTTCACGTGTTTGATGCAGGCTGGACATACCAGGGCAAGTAGCACCATTTCCACAGAGATCCCCTTCGCCGCTGCAATGTGCTGGTGGGATAATGGTTCCCAGGCGCTTCCCATAATTCCTAACAGTACCCATAGAAGGCTTCTGAGCTGCAACGCATGAATCTGCCATTCCGGGTCAATAATGCCCAGTCCTCCGTCCACTCTAGGCTGGATCAGCTTCTTCCATGCCACTCTCGGGATGGAGTCAATTGCCCCCACTTCTCCGGACCACAGATATCGCTGGGATGCAGTTCGCAGTCGTTGGAAGGTATGGCGTTTCGGCATGTGAATGGCTCCAGCGTACCATAGAGTGGACATCACCGAGTTGTTAAGAACCAGCGACTTCCCGTATACTCCAAGTGCACCTTCTTGGCCCAGCTCCCTAGTCGAATTATTGCAGCTGTCGCCAGGGACTCCATTTGACAAGTACCTCCTTCATCTGGGATAACAATGGCACCCAAAAAGCTGAGGTTCTCGTCATTATGCAGGGTCAGTATATCCCACCCTTCAGGGATGGCACACCCTTTGGGTAGGATAGCCTTGGACTTAAGCCAGTTGACCCGAGCACCCGAGTACTTGGTAAACAAATCCAGGTCCGCCTGCAGCCTCCTGATCTGGTCCAACTGGGAGGGGATGATGGCCCCTGTGTCGTCTGCGAATGCAGAAGACTTGAGGGTAAGGGCCGGGGTCATCTTCAGGCCCTGCAACTGCTGATCCGTTCGAAGAATATCATGCAGGGCTTCAATATAGATCAAGTAGAGCGCAGGGGATAGCGGGCATCCCTGTCTTACTGAACGAGTAAGGGGGATGCGACACGATCGAACTTCGTTCACCTGCATGAATGTGCCCGCATTGCTCAGCAGTATTCGGGTCCAATTGCAGAAGATTGGTTTAATGCCCCGTTGCTTCATGCTCTGAAGGAGGAACTCCCATCGCACCCGATCGTAGGCTTTTTCGAGATCGATAGTGACAAAAGCCAATGCCTGGTCATCGAGATCGGCCTGTTGCAAGACTTGACGGGCGAGCATGATATTTGAGACAATTTGTCTACCCGGGACGAAGCCTGTCTGTGAGGGATGGATGATATTAGGGAGGACCCAGACGATTCTATCCGATAGAACCTTCGCCGACAGTTTGTAAATCACATTAAGAATCGAAATTGGTCGCCAGTTGCGAACATCTTCCCTTGCTCCTTTCTTGTACAGAAGGATGACGAAAACATCCGCAAATCCTGCAGGGAGGTACCCTTTACCCAACGCTTGATTGAAGGCAACGGCTAGCAGGGGAGCAAAGAAGAGACGGGCTTCCTTGAACATTTCCACTGGGATCCCGTCAATACCAGGAGCCCTCAACCTCGGCAGCGTCATTATGGCTTGACTGACTTCTTCATCCGATATGTCCTTCTCCAGGGCTGTAGATTCGTGAGTCTTGATTTTTGCTTTGACGTGGCTCCAAATCTGGTCATGTGGCTCGTCCGCCATAGTCTGCGTAGACCAGTGTTCCTCTTCAGTAAACAGGTCCGAGTAAAAGTCTGCCACATATCCTAAGATGCCGGTAGTAGAGTCTTGTCGAGCCTTGGATTCGTCAAACAAGTGGTCCATGGCTGAAATAGTGGTAATACCTCTCTTCACTCCCATCTCTTTGAAGAAGCGTTTGGACATTCTTTCTCCCTTCACTATCCATCGAACCTTTGACTGACGCCCCCATCTCACKGCTYCATTTATCGCCCACTCCTTCCACATTCGGTTGGCCTCTAGCCTCTCCGCCCACCATTCCTCCTCCCCTTGTCCGTCTTTTGGCCCTCCATTCAGCTGTTCCATTCGGGAAACGTATTCCTGACCAGTCGCCAGGTGCGCCCTGTAGCTCRCTGTTAGTCGCTTCTGTAAGCAGATCCGCAGGGTCTGCTGSCCTTGCAAAATCCATTCCAGATCGTCCGTACAGTCGGGCTTTGCCTCCATCCAAAAGGCCCAGTGCTGACTAATAAGGGGCCGATAATCGGGGTGACTAAATATCCAGGCCGGTAGGGAGGGAGGAGGGCGGCCCATTTCCACGTCCCCCACAGTCAGGGACGTCAGAAGCATACTATGSTCCGAAAGGGCRGTGGKCACTATCCGCACCTCGCMGCCTACTCCGTAGATGGAGAGAGAGACCCAAATCATATCGATACGACTTCTTCTCTCCGCTGTCGGTCCGTACCAAGTGAATTCCCTCCCATCCGGGTTGAGTGAGMGGTACGCGTCCACACAGCCTAGTTGGGCCATAGTATACTGAAGGGCCCCTRAGTCCGGTGTAGGGTCTCGCTCCATTAACGAATCTAGGCCAGGGCAGATGGTGGTGTTAWAATCCCCTMCTATTACAAAGTCGTCCACCTCAGGGAGCACCCGTTAAATGGACTCCCATAGTTCTCTTCGCTTCCTAAGGTCTGAGGGGCCGTACACCGTAGCTACACACCATCTGCGTTTACCCCACTRTAAGACAACCCAGGCCCATCGGCCTTCAAAATCAAAATTCCAAYCAATCACCTCCCCTCGACATCTTGGGGAGATGAGCACCGCTACCCCTCCTGAGGTACCCTGGCCTTGCCTTCCTTGCGCCRRGGCGCAGACCTGAAAGCCCTTCCACCACGGTGCATCCTTCGTACAGAGTCCTTCCCCTAGTTTGGTTTYYTGTAAACAGACAACATCAATCTGATTCTGATGTACAATCTTCTGCAGCTCCCATCTCTTCGGATTCAARGAACGAGTAGATAAGCCCTTCACGTTCCATGTGAGGACTTCCAGGTGGCGCCTTCGAGCCCGCGGCCCCATATCGGAAGGGGCTTATGCTACCGTGGATCCACAAAAACCAGAAATAGCACACACCTAAACAAACATGCCTATCTTAATGTACACTAATAGTCGTGGGCGATGTATGGAAAATTCCCCGGGTCGTCAACGGGTACAAACCAACCACAACATCCTGCCAAGACAATCCAAAAATATGACAGCGAGCCAAATGGCAACAAAGAATACACCGTCGAAAACTGGGACAGAACAGTGCGAAATTCCCCGAATCAYTGTTATCAACAACTAYAAACCAACCACAAAAATCCTAAWAGAACAATCCAACAACATAAGAGCACTCCAAAGAACGAAGCATGCTACCCAGACGGGGCTGTCGTGGAGTACATGCGAGCGCCCAAGAAGTATCACCACACACCAGAAATCGAGACCACTACATCCTGACAATCCAAAAATATGACAACAAGCCAAAAGACCAACACATAGTACGCCTCCGAAAACGGGGACAGAATTGTGTGAAATTCCCCGAATCACTATTATCAACAACTACAAACCAAACACAAGGATCCTAGCAAAACAATCCAACAACATGACAGCACGCCAAAGAAAGAAACATGATACCCCAACKGGGCTGGCGTGGAGTACATGCAAACCCCCTAAAGAGTGCCCAAGAAGTAGCGCAACACACCAGAAATTGAACCAACCTACAACAACGAAAGTAGCGCACTGCACTACCCTAGAGACGTGTACAAAAAARCATCAAAAGTTTAATAGCCGGGAAAGTACTTTACCCTTGGGGCATCATAACCCAATTTAGTCATGTAAGTGTGGCTAMCATTATCTCATAGAGTCSTCTTCACTCTATTCCTAATTCTACAAATTACTCTMGTTCCACCAGCCAGTCACACCGTAAAAATTGGCAGACCCGATCTTATGTTCCGTAGGGATTCGACAGTTGAGCCGTTGAAGGATGCCCGCCGAAATCTCCTTAATAATYGCAAAGTCCCTTGGTTTGGCTGTTGGGCCAAAAATTGCGGAGAACTTGGTCCACATGGCCTCTCTATGCGCGAGCTGAGGAGATGCTGCCCGCTTTGGTTCTTYCGCCACGAAGTAAATGCACAAGCCGTATTCCGATCCTTGGGGAGGTCGACGAAAGAAGTGCCCCGTGGACACTTTTGGCAGTATTCTGACTTTGTAGTGTGAACCCACCCATCGATTGACTTGTCGGCTGATGTTTGAGTTGCGCGGGAGTTCCTTGGTGATGAACGTGAAGAGTCGGTCAGTGCCTCTTGTAAGGACCAGGATCTCAGGGTCCGTCCACCAAAGGATGATTGGACAGACATAACATTCTCCCGCCGCCATCACTGCTTGGAGCGAGCCGTGCACCGCCGTCGTAAAATGGGGGCCTCGTTCTGCCGCCGTGAGGGGAGAATCCCCCTCTTCTTCCGAGTCCAGAGCGAAGTAACCCATGTCCACGTCTTCCTTCTCCAGTTCTGGGGTCACATTGGCTCCCCCATCCCCCCCGTCGTCCGGTCTGGAGGAGTCCCCCGGTCCCGAGCTCAGGTTGTACGGGCAGGGATCTCCCTGTCCCATCCGACGTGATAGGCGGTCCATCTCTCTTCTCTCCGGTGACACAAGACGGCGCCTGCAGGGGCGTACCACTGGCGGAGGTCGGGTCGGGGGAGGGGATCGTTCACGTTCCCTAAACACAGCCCTTCTGAAAGTACCGCCTGACGGCCCGTCCTCCAGCACAGTGTCCGAAGTTGATGATGGCCGAGAGGCTAATTGCTTCTTCTTCCTCCTGTAACTACCAAGCTCCTGCTGACGATCCAGGGCCTGATTCATATGCGTGTCTTCGCTCACTTCAATGACCTCCTTTGGTTGGCTACAGGGTGGTGCAGGTTCGCCTTGTCCTGTCTTTTTGTCCTCCCTTGACTGTGCCACCTCCTCGTCTGGTTTCCCTACTTCCTCCTCGATTGTCCCCTGCTGCCGGGGAGGAGGGGATAGAGGGGGAGGCATAGCTTCCCGTTGCATTTGCGCTTCAACATCGCCCACATCTTCGTGCTCCACTACTCTCGATTGCTCACCCTCCGGACCTTGGTCGCTCCCCTCCGTAACCACACTCTCTCTCCTTTTCCCTTCCCCTTTGGCCTTTCCATCAGCATCGGGCTCCACCGTTAATTGTTCCTTCCCCGCTGGTTCCGCCATTTGTTCCCTCCCCACGTGTTCCATCCCCACTTGCATATCACCCTTGGTGACAGTCTTCTGAGTATCCGGTACTTGAGGCGTGTCCGTGACTGGAAGCAGTTCAAGTTGGTGTTTGTCCTCTTGGCGGCTGGCCACAGCCAGTACAGGGGGGTCTCGGTCCACATTCTTCTCCTGTCCTTCGTCGTTGTTCTCGTGTTCCTTCATCGGCTGCTGGCTGGCGACTTCGACTCTAGAGTGCGCTCCACACGTTCCCCCCTCTTCGCGGAAGACCTGCTCGTCGCCGTTTGTTGCCTCCCTCCCGCTGTCGTTGCCCTCCTTTCCTCGTTAATTGTAGGCTGCTCACCCATTCCCTGGTTGCTCATGTCTTGGACACTTGTCATCGGGATCTCTTCAGTTTGCACCCCAATTTCCCACCCCTTGTTCACCAGCCGTTCTTCGTTCCTCCTCCTGATCCGCAGATCAATCAGGGGCTCGCTTTGTGTTTCGTTCTCCAGCTCCTTCTCATATTCTCCTTTCTCTGTTTGACCCCCCACCGTGTGACATGCGACGTCCACGTGCTTATCCTGTGGCGGCCGCTCGTCATCGGTTACCGTGGCCGGATTCACCGAGCTGCACTGCCGTTTGTCCCCTCCCGTCTCCCTCCGTTTCTCGTTCAGGTCCTCTTGATGTTTTCGCTTCTCCTCCCCAAAAAGCCATCATGGGCTTGTATCATCAACATCCATACGGTCATACGGCGGCGAAGCCATCGGTCGATTCTTCTTGGAGTTTCTTTGTGAGGATTCTCGCCTCTTGCCTTCCTTGTCACGCCCTCCCATTTGTGAGCCCTGTGTCGGCCTTGGGGTCTTCGGGGTTTGCTCCGTCCTTGCCTCCAGGATGATTTCCTTATCAAATTTGAGCTCCACTTCCCTCCACATCCTCTGTTCTTCGGCAAAATTGGAGGTTAATATGGGGTCCAGTCTTCTTCTCATCTCCTTTTCCTGAATCTCCCTCGCCGTTTCGGTTCTGGATAGGCATTGCCCCTCCTTCCCCAAATGCCCGTGAGTATAGCATATCTCGCAAAAAGGAGTTTCACTTGTGACATAACGAAGCTCGTGAACTGTGGAGGGGCCAGTAGCCACTCCCATCTTGGAGACGTTCGATTTCAACGATCCTTTGATTATGAACTTCTCGTATTCTCGGTCGTCGTCTGAGTGTTCGGAAGAGCATACAATCTCTCCAAAGAAGTGCTCCACTGTTTGGCGCACCAGCGGTGCCACGTAAGTCAGAGGCGCGAAGATCTTGACCCAAGGCCATGGGCGCCGTTCTTCTTCACGTTGAAATTCTATCTCCGCCGGCGACTTCCAGGCCTTGAAATGGACCTCCAGAATCTCTCCCCCTACTTTGATCGTTTCAAGTCGTTGCTCGTTAAGAAGCCAATCTCTCAATTCGGTAGTAGGCGCCGTGTAGACAAGAGTCAGTGCGCCTTCGACGTCGATCGTTCCCCTCCAAGGTCCCCTCCCCATGAGCCATAGGTCCTCGCATGCCACCAGCCACGCCTTCTTCATGCTTCGTGACCAGCCGGTCACCACTTCCGGAAGTCGTGCCACAATCGCGTGAGTGCGAGTATAAGTTGTGAGTAAGTAGCTAACATCCGGGATAGGTCGAGTAATTGCCACTCCTCCTTCGATCGCAAAAGTCAATAAGCCGGGGTCCGCGATCGGAACAGAGGACAAGTACGCTCTCCTAAGCTTCTGCATCAAATTCTGTCGCTGAGTCTGTATATCTGGCATAATCCCCGCCATGACTATTCCTAATAGGTATTCCCCTAAGTCGTTCCACCCCTCTTTCCCAATCGCAGGCCGCTCCGCCGCACTTCTCCCAACGCACCAAGTAGCCCGGTGGCAACGCTAAACCCTTACTCGGGGCGGCCAGTCAGCAAGGTTCTCAGATATTCGCAAATCAATTCCGCACCTCCTGTTCCCCTGATCATGTCACTTTGTACAGGGCTCTCCCCGCAGACACAGATCAGTGCAATACCACCTCCTCTTACCTTCCCAGCTAAGAAGTACTCACCTCCTCCTAATCAAGCCTATCCCCAGCCATCACCTTCTACCACTCCTTGGTCAACCCAATGCCCGAAGCCATCGCCCCCAAGAGATTGGCTGCAAACAGCACCCGCCCAATCCAACACAGCCCGCCACACCCACCCATCTCCAACGGCAAGGTACCTCATAATCCAACACAGCCCGCCGCACCCGCCCAAAAGATTGGCTGCGAACAGCACCCACGCACACCACACCTAGAGATCGCAAGTTAACCACACTACCCGAACAACGGCGCACGCGAAGGAACCACCGACACCTTCGGACCACAGTCGGATGCCACCGCCCGCCCAAAACGTACCGACAGCGAAGTGCACAACCTCCTCTCTCCATCGCGAAACGCGGGTGAAGAGAGAAACAAATGCAGCACGCTTCCAACACGCCCGGACGAACAGAAAGCCTCCACCTGTGCACGAGGGCGCAAAAGGAACACAACCCCTCTCCCCCCTCGGTCCACATCCGTTGGTTGCCCTGGGCACCACCAACAGCACTCGACGCAGGTGAAACCCAGGAGACAGAGGATAGTAGCCTTCGAAGCCCACAACCAAAATGCAGCGGAACCACGACGCAACGCGATCCGTCACGGTGTGCAGCATACCGARACCACAGGATGGGGGACACGACGGGCACAAGCGCGCATTCCAAAAACTCGGGCGGATGACGGGCCCAGCCTCGCGACGCCGTAGGAGGGTGCATCACGCATCCCACAAGTCTCCGCCCTCGCATACGGTAAGCAGCGCGTGCATGGCCGAGGCCACCTGCGCCACCGCTCAATGGCGCCGCTCGGATGGCGAAGAGCGCAGAGCGTCCTCACCAAGTCGTGACACCCCCTCAACACAAAYGGAACGCGCCGTTGTGAGTGCGGACACGAAGACGACACCACAACAGAGCCGCAACAGCTCTCCCCGTAACCTACGGGATGATGGTGCCGAAGCTGAGACCCGGTGACGGGCACCTCCGCCTCCACACCCTGCAAACAACCGCCAACCGGACCGCCGTCGGCGATCATGTGCCAATAATCACAAGACGATGAGCGAGGGTGAACGCAACAATCCACAACCCGGCACCACGGCATAGGAAAGCCCCGACAGCCGCGACCGCCGCCAACGACCACCGAGCTGTCGTGAAAGAAGCCCTCCGAGAGAGACGACCATGGACCCGAACGGCGCCGCAAAAATGTTCGCTCAACCACCAAAGCACGACTCGCCCATCCCTCGCAAACTGGAAACCACCCAAAGCGTGTGCAGAGAGTCCCTCGTAACTCGAGTACAAGGTCCTAAAACCCACGCCCGGAACGTCGCCTTCGTCGATTGCAAGGGGGCTGCTAAGCACGCAGGCCCCTATAAGAGTGCAAACGGGACTCCGAACCGCCAACCACCGACTGTTTGGCACATCCGGAGGGTGCTCACTGAGCCATCCGCCGAGGGACCTGCACATGTCCCTTTCCA